TATAAATTTATCTATTTACATATGAATTTTTATTAAATAAAAAAATTATATTTTCCTAATTTATAGAATAATAATAAACGCTGTTGTAACCCATACTTTATTTTGGGATCATCAGAAAAGGGCATACTTTTATATGCATTTAAGCATATTTTTTTAATCAAAGCTAGATTGTAAATTAGTAAGTTTCAAACCTATTCGAGTTAATGGCTGGTTCAATTATAAGGTCAAATAAAAGTTGGCACCAGACCATTGGGGTTGATACATTTGAGTGTCATGTCATATGTCAATGGCAATAACAACATTTTCTATGACTATACCATACTAAGAGATCTCATTCATTTGATTTGTAACTTGCTAGCTCATTATTCAGAATGGAGTGCACTTATAAGGCTATGGATTATAAATATTTTAGAATTAATTAATAATATATGTTAGTGTGTACAGTATGTGCGCTTATATCTGTTTCTTTTTCTTTTTCTACTCTGCAAGGACTACGTCCTTTGAATTTAGTAGCTGATTTTATTAGTCATTTGAAGCTCTATTCTCATGAATTTTTCATACATGTTTATGATGTGATGATGACATATTATAAGAATGAAAATAGTTTAGAATATTTTTTTTATCCCTCGTTTGAATGAGGACGTGTTTGTAATTTACTTAACTCTTTGGTAGATAATTTATATTTGATACAATTTATATGATACCAGTATTAATTGTCAATACTAATTCTTCTTATGTGATACCAATATTTTTGATACCACTTATTCTAATTGAGTGTGATCAAAATCTTTACAGCCTCCTTTTCAGCATTTTAAAAAGGAAAATGATAAATCATTAATTTAAAATTTTTTCTTGATTCTTATACTTTAATAACAATTTTGATAATTAATATTCTTTTTGATTAAATTATACTACATATTTGATATCATTGTTCTGATTTAGCATGATTTTTATTTTTGAACCTCCTCTCAAACATTTGGGAAAGGAGCATTTTATATTATGTATTTTAGTTTATTAGTAGTTTTGATTATTTGTAGCATTTTTTATTATCTATTATAACTTATTTTGATACTACATATTTAGTGTTGGACAACAAGAAAATAAATTATTGGCTTGCCTCATAATAGTTGGAATATCCAAAATTACTATAATATCATGACCCATGGCATCATGGACTTGAAATTGAGATCCATAACTTGGGATGTATTTTTAGATTGTGTTTGAGCTTTAAACTATCCTTTTAAACCTCATGGTCATGAAAATATCTTAACTATTAATCGTGTCAAATTCTAAAATATATATCACAATTTTAAATTCTAAATTATTTGCTTTAGTTTAATTGTAGTTTTGATTATTAAAAATATTTTTTTATTACCTAATATAACCTATTCTGATACCATGTGTTTTGATGCTACTCATTTTAATTGAGCTTGATTCTTACTTCTATAAAGTAAAAAAAAAAAACAACTATTACACCCATAATCTATCTCAACTTTAGCTCTAGGAAGAAGGTAACATAGTAACATTAATATTATTGTGAAGATTTTTCAATTAAATCTCACAAGAAGAAGCATCCTTCTAGAATTCACGATCACAATTGGTAATAATAAAAAACAATGCTTGTTTGCATAATTGATATAACTCAAGTTAAGGTTTGTATCAAATATAGAATTCCTATTTGACCCTTTTTAGACCATGAAAATAGTTGGCTTTTGACTCAATAATGGAGATGATTAATTTTAGACAATGATTAAGTAAATAGACTAGTCTTGCCTCTTTTAAGTGAAGAATAATATAGTCTTGTGCATGTGTTTTCTTTTTCTTAAGTGTTAACTCTGGCTAAAAAACTTGCCGGGTTAAAGAGGTAAGTTCAAGATCTTTCACACTAATTGTGAGAAGTGGCACCAATGGACCATGAACATAGCATGAGCAAATGGAGAAAATAGAAAGCATGATAGAAATATATTATATATATATATATAGACACCACCACCACCATCAGATTGTTGTAGTAACTAGTGTTTGCCTAATTATCTAATATATACCTGGCTTTGTACTTCTATTGTTACATTGAATAATGTTTTGTCTTCCATCCAAAATTGACACTAATAGTATATCTTTGATATGACTATCAACTAAGTCAAATTCAAGTATTGTTGTGCTCAATTTAGAGTGAGCTCTCCTAAAGATATTTTTTTTACATTTACATGAACTCAAATTCAAAACTTTATGCTTAAGAGGTTATCACCCCTTTTACTAAGACTAACATCTACTGATATTGATAATATATCTAATTATACATATCATGTTATTATCTAATAAACAGAACTACATGATTGAACTATCTTGCAACATCCCAATTTTTATTTTTATGATTTAAATAATATTATGATGGAATTATTTTATATATAGTTATTTAAATAAATATAAATTTAATTAAAGGGAGTTAAATCCTGAGGACTTAATTTTGAGATATGATTTTTTTTTAAAAGTGAGAATAAGTAAAAAGTTTTGCTTAAAAAAAAGGGAAACTCAACCTAATCTTTTGAATTTTTAATCTTAGAAAATAAAATAAGACAACATACAATATATATATATATATATATAATCAAAATGTGTAGGGGTTGTTGTATTTAAAAAAAAAAAAAGACAAAGAAAGAAGATATAAAAAATGAAAGGGGGAAAGGGGGGAAAAGGCTATGGCCTGATGATGGCACGTGGGCCTTGGCCCACAAACCAATTAAAATACCCCTCCTCCACATTAGCCTATCATTCAAACTCCATTTCCTTCTCCTTTCCTGTGCACGACGCGAATCCAGTGCGGGAGAAATGGGAGAAAAAACTGAGCCCGCGGGTGAGAGAATTCTTGGAAGAGGTCTCATAATAAGATATTTTGAAAGTGGTTTTTAGTATTCTAAGACAAGATATATATTCTAAATATTTTTTTAGTCATTTTTATTCTTCTAGTTTCTGATTTCTTGATGGGCAAAAATTTTAGAGTTTGGTAGATTTCAAATGTTTGGATGATTTTAGCAATTATTTAGATTTTAATGGAGTCAAAGAGATAGGAATGAGAGTTTGTATGATTTAGATTTACCCAAATAATTTATTTGATGAGTTAAAGCTAGGTTTTAATTAAGAAAATAATTATTTATGAATATGGTAGTGATATATTTCAAATTTAATGGTTTATTTTGGGTTAATGGAGTTCATGTCAATGATTAAATGGATTGATTTTGAGGTTTATTATTAAATGTGAATATTAGTAATTTTTGTAGGCATTTTAATATTGGAATTTTGAGACTAAGAATGACTTGAGAAAATTATTGTTGTTTAATAGCTCTAATGAGTGAAATGAAGTTATTGAATTATAAGAATGTAATTGAGATGAAGAAATTTATTTGTGATAGTAAATTTAATTTTTTAAAGAAAATAAAATTTAGAAAAAACTGGAGTTTCTTTGTGATAATTAGGAGTTTGTTTGGATTTAGAAAATGTTTTAAGGTATTTAAATGATGATTTGTGGCTTAAGTCAAGCCCTAGATTTTGGGATTTAACTAGATGTAAAAATTAAGGTTACCAAGAGATTAATTATGGTGACAAAAAATTTAATGGGTATATTAAAAGTGGTGTAATAATAGGAGTGATTAAGTTTAAAGGTTTAAGTGATAAGATGGGTGTTGGATTAATAAGGATAATTAATCTAACCCTAACATTATGTTATATTTAGTGTTTAATCATTAATATTAATTATGCTTGTTATTAAATATCATGCAGAGCATGGTGTTAGTGTGTTGGTGGAATTAATAAGCTTGTTTGGGAAAATGTGTTTACAAGGAGCAAAGGTAGCCCTTACTATCATGTTATGGTGTGTATTGTGATTAGTTGTATGTATTTTATTTCAATTAAATGTTGTTCGCATATGTATAATTATTGTTTGGAAATAAATTGCTAGTGGGATTAAAAATATTGATACACACACACACACACACACACACACACACATATATATATAATATTATGTTCAGTATGAAATTTTTGAGGTTGGAAGAATGTAACATTTTCTGGAATTCATATTTGTTTGAAAATTATATATGCATCAATTTTTATATTTGACTATGTTTAATGGATTATAGGACTTTTATAGGATGTAGATTATTGTATTGTACTGTTTTGGTCAAGTTGTTCGTCCCAAATTTTGGCTTTGCTTTAACTTTTTTTTTTTTTTTTGATAGAGGCTTTGCTTTGCCTTGCAGTGTTAAAGATTTGGGAAATGATGTTTGGGCCCTAAATAGATATTGTGAACTAAGGTTTACAGTGAAAAGTATTGTGCATCAAACTTGGGCCAAGAATGGAATATATTAAATATTTTAGGTGGATACTTGAATCACTATACTTGAATATTTGTTGGAAAAGAGAAGCAATCTTTATATGAAATTTTTGTCTGGGAACTCTGATTTCATATTGTTTTAGGTTTTATAAAGAAAAAAATTGCAATTATACTCTATTAGAAATGAGATCCTATTATATTTAGTAAACTATTATTTACTATTGTAGGACTTGTTTATTAAGTTAAAGTTTTTTTATCATAGTAATCAGTTTTAAACTTGTTTTACTTAATTAAGGAAAAGTTCTTTTTCTACCATGACAAAGTTTATTCAAGCATGTTTGATTTTTTTTTTTCTATCATGATAAATTATGTTATGCTATGGTAGCGTTTTTTAAAAAAATAGTTTTCGTTCTTCCTACTATAATAAGCTTTTTAAAAGATAAATTTTGTCATTTAATTATCATGATAGCCAGGGTGGGTTTTAATAAATATTGTTTTTTTTTAAAGTATGGTGTTACACATCTCACTTATCAGGTGGGATCTCCTACCCCATTCTACAGGTTTGTACATTGGATAGCCACCAAATAGGACTTACTTAAGACTCTGTAAATAGTGCAGCTTCCCATTCCCATAACATATATTATTTATGTTTGTTCCCGTTTCACATATATTTCAATAAAAATAAAATGTTCTTTATTTCTATAAACTCATATACAATGCAGTACAAAGTGCTTTTAAATAAATATAAATGGTAAAACTACCCAACATGGGTTTGAAATGACCTAAAACAAAACTCCAAACCAACAACAGTCACAACCCATAAGAATATATTTTGCAGGCTATGGTAGGTACAATAGCACATGAATAATGCAGAACACGAACACTGACACAAGAGGGAAATTAGTAGAAGTAGTTGAGAAGACCAACTAGTGTAGAAGCAATGAGAAGTAAGAAAGTGGAAGAAGACATAGCAGAAGATGATGATGGAGTCAGATTAGTAGTACGCCCAGATGTTGATGGTGTTGTTGATGTTGATGGTGGTGTATTAGTATTATCCACTGATGGAGATGATGATGATGATGGGGTTGTGTCTGATTCAGGTGCCTCTGAAGGTGTCATTGGCGGTGAAGGCATAATGGAAGGCACTGCATCATCAAACATACAACAACATTATATTATGCTTATTAATTAGTAATCCCACACATACACATGTTCATGTGAAATAGTCTTGGCATGTCTAATAACATGTTTGGAGTGATATTTAGGCTTGGTTTGAATGAAGAGAAAAGTAAAAAGAAAATAAAAATGAGAGAAAACTAGAAGAAGAAATTTCCAAAAATGGTAACTTTTTTTATTATATTTAGAAGTCTTCTCTCTTAATTTTCCTTCCTCTCTATTTTTCTCCTATACAAAAGGTTAGTATATGTTTGGATAACAAAGTTAATCAATTTTAAAGGTCAAAATTATGATTTTGTGAAAATATATGCAAGTGCCTCTATTACACGTAAAATCAATTATGAACTCAGAAGTTAAAATTATAATTTTCTTAAAAATATTCAAACATTCATCATATATCTCAAAATTAATTATAAATCTAAAATTGTGATTTTTTTTAATCCGAACACCTATTATATTTTTACCTGTCAAGATGAATTATAAACTGAAAACTATGATGTTGATAAAATTTATATAGTTTTTGGAAAATTTTTTAAGAAAGTATAATTGAAAGGTTGATTGAATTGAAGAGATACCTTGAGGGCTAGGAGATGGAGTGAATCCAGAGGGAGCCGATCTCGGTGAAGGAGATGGGCCTAGAGATGCAGGTCCTGTGATTGATATCAATTAACATCAATATAAAGATATGGAATATAAAATTTATAACAAGTCATATTATTTTTTTAAAAGGAATAACATGACTTATTATTTATTCAAACTCAGAGTTAAAGTGGGAAAGAAAATGTTATATTGGGAAATACCTGGTGCAGGAAGTGGTGAACCAGAGGCTGGGGAAAAAAAAAAAAAACAGAACATGAACTCATTAGCTTTCTCATTTGCTTCAATGAAAGATCAAAGCTAACTCATTGTAAGCGATATTAAGAGAAGGGTAAAATACCTTTGCACTGAACAGGGACACGTGGCATGCGACAGGCACGTGGTAGGGAGATGGCTAATGTTCTGTTAATAGGTAATTGGAAGGGAACACTACCAGTGACTATGAGGCACAGACAGTCCATGCCTCCGCTGGTGAGAGACTTTAGAGAATCACAGCACTGTGTAGTGGGCATGGAGGATCCGCCGGCGCTGCTGTTCGTCAGGTAGTTCATACAAGGTGTGAAGGTATTTATGATCGATGTGTTACATGGGGAGCTAATCTGACCACTTGCCGGAGCAACCATCGCTGCCACCATCACCACGGTGGCCACCACCACAGAGAACCACCTTGGCTGAAAATGCTCCATATTACTCTGTTTTGTTCTGTTCTGTTGAGATTTTTTTTTTTGGCTTGTGGGGTTATGGAAACTGAAATGAAGCGATCAAATTCAGAAGTATTTTTGAATTTTGATGGTTTGGGTGAGAGAGAACGTAGAAGGGTTTGGATTTTATAGAAGGAAGTGGAGGGAATGGTGTGAGGGGAATGAAGTAGAAGTTGGTTTAGGAGATCAACCACTTCAAACTAATCTGTTCCAAGTGGAAGAATTTGAAGTAAGTTGGTAAGATTGGTATACTCTGTTTTTTTAGCATGAAATTGGCATGTTTTAATACGTGAACTCTTGCATAATTTGTTTTTTTTTTTTCCTTTTATTATGAAGAAAATATACAGATTCTAAATTAAATTACAATTAAATATTATTCCCTTCTGTATTTATAAAGTAAATAAGAAAATTTTTTATCCTGTATAAGGCATGTCTTTGCATCATTGAGTTTTTTTAAAATTTTTTTACTTCTTATTAAATGTGAATAGAGAGAAAATATGTTATTAAAGTATCTAGTATTCTTCTTACTACAATATAGGGCATTAATAACTACTTTATAATTTTCAAGAAAAATTAGATGAAACATTAAATTTTTTTAAAAAAATCACTCCTTCTGTTAAAAAATGCAAGGCACTTTTTGGGGAGTTGAATGTTAAAAAATGTGAGGTATTTTTAGTGTTTTGAGATGTAATCATTATTTTTTTTTTCAAAAATGCCTCTATTAATAATGACTTTACATTTATTATAGGGTGTTTAATAGGGATAAATATGAAAAGATAGGGTCAGTTTGAAAGTAAGTAACTACTTTATTAGAGGATAAAATTCAGTTAAAAATGTCTTATATTTTTAAATGAAGGGAGTAGATATTTTCAATTATATCCTTAGTAAATATCTCTTATATTTGCCTTAACAATGATAATTGAAATTTCAATGTATCATTTTTTTTTCAAAATAGATTAATAAATAAAGGAGAGATAAAGTTAAACAAGAAATCATAAAAATTGACTTATGGCTTATATTTTGAACTAAGTAAGGTTTCTAAAAGATATCATCTAAAGGACTAAAGAGTATATCTAATAAGGATAAAATTAAAAAATTATTAGAATTTTGGACATGATTAATAAATTTTAATAAAATATATTAAAAATAACTTATAAATAAAACTAAATGGAGTAATTTTTTAAAAATATTTTAAATATTTTTTATGTGTTAAAGATTATGAATTGAATAGATGCTAAATGCAGTTATTTGATTGAATACATAAATACTTGCTACTCCTTCTATTTTATATTATAAGACACTTTTAGATAAAATTATATATGTCAATAAAGCCCATTACATACATTTTACAGCAATATTTTTTTAAAATAAAAATAAAATTTTTTAAAAATGTCCTTCGTTTAACACTCAATTTATTAAAAAATATTAAAAAGAGAGAATATATGAGAATGATAATATTTTAAAAAAATATTATTAATAAAATATTACTTTCATCAAAGTATCTTATATTTTAAATGCTGAATCTTCTTAAAAGTATTTTATAATTTAAGACAAAAGTAATATTATATTAAGTGGAGGATGAACAAGGTTGACTGCTTGCAAAATTAATAAAGGGAAATAGGGCGGCAATGAGAAGTCAAATAAGATTGCGGTAGTTGAGCTGTGAATTAATGGGATCAGTTAGATAACCGAAGATAAAACAATTTGGATTAGTTTTGTTTGCGTGCTCTACTTTGCAACAACTCATCCAATTTAATGTGAACTTGCCAACAATCTCCATGTTGGAAAACCTGCTTCATGATTCTTCATGTGATTATACCTTATGAAACCACATATCCACCATAGATTCTTGTCTGTCTTACTTTGCTTTAAGCTAAGGGTTTGGTGAACCCATAGTTTAGATAAGTTATATTTTTCAGGTTAAAAGAGTGCTTTTGAATATTATTTAGGTAAGATGATAAAACTTTTACTTCCTCATGTTTGTTTTAGTTATTAATTTTGACCTTCAAATCTAATTTTATTGATGTAGTTCTTTATATTTTTCTCAATTATTAATTTGGGCCTTATTGTTTAAATAAGAAATACCACTATTAAAATTGGTTGGCATAGATAACATATTATTGGTGACAGTCATGTAGAGTAATGAAAAAAGGTTAATTATTTAGGGACAGAAAACACAAACTCAGAAATTTTGAAAAATAAATTAACAAAATACAATGTAAAGAAAAATATTAATAAAAATTGAACTTATTTGAAGGCTAATTTATTCATTCTCATTTATCTAAATATATGTGTCAAATCATCAAAATACTTTACATATTGAATTAATTTGATAGTAAATTTATTTTTTAAAACTTAAAGGACTAATATGAAAATTTAAAAAAATGTAAAAGATCAAATCAATAAAAATTAAATTTGAGGGATCAAATTGGTAATGAGACAAAGTTGAGGGACTACAAATTTTATTTTCCCATATATTTATTAATAACTAATAAATAAAGTTTTCATGTCAACATCGAAATACAAATTCACATTTTTATGGCCTCTACATCTACTAATTATCAAGGGGCAGTAAAGCCGAATAAAACCAATCAAACAAAACTAATTCAATCAAAACCTAATAAAATTAATCATTAGTAAGGTTTGGTTTCATTTTATAAATTAAAAAATCAAACGGTTTGGTTCAGGTTTTGTTTTGTTTTTCTTTGAAACCTTCACCAAACTTGAATTATATCTTTTTATATTTTTAAATGTATTTTTTATAATTAACATTATACTATTAATTATTGTTTATTATTTTTAAATTTTAACCTCAATTAAAGTCCAACCCAAACTCAAAATACTTTAGTAGAATCCCTAATCTTACTTTTCTCAATTTTACTAATTGCCTTTAGAGTCAAATACAGTCTAGAAAAAGGAGAGGTGTTTTGTCATTGCCAATTGAAGAGTGAAATACTTCACGTCCATGACTGCAACTGGTTGATTCTTATCTGTTACTCTTTACTGTCTTCTATTTAAATTTATTAGTTTATCAATCATCATGACTTTATGCGGCCATTTGCATATGTGACTATTTGCTCCTATATGATTTTTATAGATGCGTCCAAACATTAGTTTATCGGTTTAATAGTTTATTATTTGATTGCTCATATTGTAAATCGTAGGAGGAATTGTTGCTTGACTTTGTGGCATATTTCTTCTTTGTTTTATATTATTACACCGTAATTGGGCTCTCTTGCCTTTGTGGTTCAATATCAGACTGGTCAAGCAGTCATTGTATTTGGCTATTTGTAATGACGTTGGCTTGAGAGATGGTATCTCCTGTTCTCCATGCTAATTTCTATTCCTTCAACCAACGGGAGTTGATCTGAGTGATAAGCAGCTCGATTTTATTTAAGCAAGGTCTCGAGTTCGAGCCTTGTGTATGCAGAAAATTCTCGCTGGGAGACTTACGCACCATGCTAGGTGCATGACGTGGGTCGGATCCGGATATAGTCGAGGCAAAGCTTTGGTAAATCGGGTGGGCTACCAAAAAAAAAAATTTATTCCTTAAAAAAAAATTACAATTACACAGTATATAATATAGTATATATAGTTAATTAGCTGGTGACCAAAGTGGATATCTCGTAAAAATGCACTGGGAATGAAGATGTGTAAGCAATTGAGATTTTAAAAATTATTAAATAGTATATGTGGCCACGTGGATGGATGGAGACTTAGAGAGTAGGGACTATAAGGGACTACTTGAAAAAAATTAAATATTTTAAGCCAAAGGGACCCCTCGCCTTGTGACCTTATAACTTGTTCAATAGTTAAAGCATGTTATTTTGTTATTATTATAAACACTAGTATATTATATAAACTATAAAGCATACATAAACACTAACTAGTGGTATGAATATTAATAATTTCATTATGTCAATGCACAGGAAATGCTTCCAATATGAGTGAAAAGTTGAGATAAATCTTGTAATCGATATTGACAAAGAGAAATCAAAGAATAAAAGGTTAGACGTAACTAACAATGTTGCTACCATCAATGCTTCCGTTCCATCTAATACATCAAATCAAGAGAAGGGTGAAGAGATTGATAAGGAGAATGAGAAGGGAAAAGAGAAAGAGGAAAGAAAACAAGAAGACATAAATTCTACTACAAGTAAAAGAAAACCATCTAAACCTTAGTCTTGGGTGTGGAGTCATTTTACTTTAGTTGAATGTTGTAATCCTAAATTTCCAAGAGCTAAGCGTAATTGGTGTGGGGTAGGCTATGCATGCCATAAAAAAAAAAAACAAATGGAACATCTATTTTGGCAATGCATCTAGAATCAAGATGTAAGAAAATCAAAGTTGGAAATAAAGATCCAAAACAATCTCTACTTGCTTTACAACAAAAGAAAATGGAGGATGGACATGGCCGTGGAACTAGTTTGAAAGGAATAGCATTTGATTTTAATTCTTGTAGGTAAGCTTTTGCTAAAATGATAATTGTTGATGAGCTGCCTTTTAAATTTGTTGAGGGAGAAGGATTCCAATATTTTATGAGTGTTGCATAGCCTTTATTTCCTCTTCCGTCATGCTTTACAGTAGCTAGAGATTGTTGGAATCTTTTTTTATTTGAACAAGCTAAGTTAAGGAGTGCATTTTCCAAGTCTCGTCAAAGTGTTTGTCTAACTATTGATTGCTAGACATATATACAGAGCATGAGTTACTTATGTCTTACTAGACATTTCATTGACGATGAATGGAAGTTGCATAAAAAAATTTTGAATTTTTGTCAAAATTGCTGACCATAAAGTTGATACCATTAGTGGATTGATAGGAAGTTGTTTGTTGTTGAATTGGAGGATTGATAGTGTTTTTATCATTACAGTTGATAATGCTTCATCTAATGATATTGTTATAGCTTATGTGAAAGATAAAATATTTGATTGGAATGGTCACATAATGAAAGGAGAACATATGCATGTTAGATGTTGTGCATACATTATGAATTTAGTTGTCAATGATGGGCTAAAGGAGATTAATGAGTCTTTTACAAAGAATTAGAAATTTAGTTCAATTTATTTGTGCTTCACCAACTCATTTTCTATGTGAAGCAAACTATAATTCAAGATTGGGATAAAGCATGTGTTTTTGTAAAGTTCTTAAAAATCTTTTGTGTCACTAAAAATGTCTTCGACTCATTATTTGTAACATCATCTCAATACTTTTATGACTTTTGCTTGATGGCAAAATCCTTGAGAAGTATGTGTGAAAGTGATGATCCTTTATTAAGTTTGATGGCTATAAAAATGAAAATAAAATGTGATAAGTATTGGGAAGATGTGAATAATATGAATATCATGATCTTTATAGCAGTGGTGCTTGATCCTAGGTATAAATTAAAATTTATGAAATGGAATTTAAAGAAACTCTACAATGAAGACATGGCTGAACATTATACTTGGCAAGTGAAAGAGTTATTTATCAAAATGTATGAAAATTACAAGGCTTTTCATGGCACAAAGAAAAGTCCAACCAATATTCAATCAAAAAAATAAGAAAGTTGTTTCTCATGAAGAGAATGAAAAAGATTCAATTGCAATGAAGTTTGACAAAGTCATGAATGAAGATGATGATATTGAGAATTAATTAAAAGTGGACCTCTACTTGGTGGATAGTAGAGAGAAAATGTGCAACAAATTTGACATCCTTAGTTGGTGAAAAGTGAATTCTTTTAAATAATGTATTGACTATGCTTGTGTCTATTGTAGCCTCAGAAGCTGCTTTTAATATAGGGGGTCATATACTAAATGAATATAGAAGCTCATTGAGTGCCAAGACTGTTGAAGCCTTTGTATGTGCACAAAATTGGTTTCGATCTACTCCATTGTCATGTGATATTGAAGAGAAAGTTGAGGAAATTGAGGAAATTGAGAAAATTGAGTTAGGTAATATCTTTATAAATATTTTATTTTAACAAGTTTGAAACCTTTAAATATAAATTGTGTTTACAATTTATTTGTTTATTTTGCCTTTAGATCTTAAAGTTGTCATCCTAAATGACGATGATAACTTTTGATTATTAAGGATCTTCAGTTATTTTTATTTTATACATGTAAGTACTATGACTCTTATTTGTTATGATTATTATTTTTGAATTCATATTTTCACATGTTTTCCTCTCTCTTTTTTCTCAGATATTGAAATTAACAGGCACTAGTGGCATTGGCAATTGTTACTTCAAGAATGATCTTTTAAATAATTTTAGATAAATAATTTTCCTTTTATTGATTTAAAACAATTTTTTTGTTATAGACATTAAAATAATTTGTAATGAAATTTAACTCGTTTTAACGTTACTTGCAATGCATATATTTTGATGTTTATTGATAATGAAATTTACATATTTTTATTTTCAATATATATTCATTTCCATGTTAAGAATGTGACTTGATGTTGGAATATGAAAGGAAAAAAGTCAAAAAAAAAAAAAAATAAAACTTGATTCATATAGAAACCAAATTGAACCAAACCAACTTTAATAAAAAACCAATCAAGCATCATTTTTTGTGTAAATTGATTAGTTTGGTCTGGTTCATGTGTTGATCAAAACTAAACCAAACTATACCTTTGATCACCCTTACTTATTATCCTTTCCCATATATTTAATAGATTTAGGCCGCTGGTTTAGATAGGTATAGATTACTTGGTCAAAAAAAGAAGAAGATTAGCATAGATTACTTCACTAGTTAAAACTTCGCAATTTTGTTTAAGATGTCTTAACCGTTCAAATAATGGAGAAGAATGCGGGGACTGATTGGGAAGTGGGGGAAAAACATTATAATTTTCTTGACATTTACAAGACATTACAATTTATTTCTTTGTTAATGTAAAAGGTTTTGGGAAGATTTCAAATTAATATTGTCAAGTATTTTTTATATTTATGAAAATCTATATATTATTTATGCTTGCAAATACTGAAAGGTAAATGAATTATTCAGGAAAAAGAAAAGGTAAATGAGTTAACTATCTCCTCAGTGGGTGTATGCTTAAATTAAAAAAATTTACAACTGAGTTTAAAAAAAAATTGTGAATGTTAACATAATTTTTGTTTAAATACCTTTATTTTTTAAGTCAATTAAATAAACCAAAATTTATTTGAATAATTTCATTCAAAAGTCAATTGAAATATATAATAATAAAAATAGACAGAAATTTTCTTTTATATATTTTTGTAACTAGTTTGATATTTTTAGAGAAAAATATTAAACTTAAAATTATAATTTTTTTATAAAATGTATATTAAAAATATAAAAATGCATTGATAAATAAAAAATTTAATTTTAAAAAGGTAGTATTAAATGATAACATTAAAAATCTTCAATTACAAAAATTAAAATTAATTAAATATATTAAAATATCCAATAAAAAATACTATTGATATCCGAGTGATATTTAGAAATACTACCAGGAGATTTTTGTCCTTTTGAATTCACTGGGAGGACAGGTCCATTGAGTCTTAAATAGAATAACCGATTATTTAATTTTTATATCTAAATGTTACTTTTTTAAATTTTGTGGTCACCCCAGGGGATTGCAAATAATTTATCCACTATAACTATATATACCCTAAGAAAGAGAAATTTGACAAAAAGCTTGAAAGAACATCAATGCTATGCTTGAACTTTTACAGTTTCGACTTTCGAGTTTCGACGATTCGCCAACCGTCTCCGTCTCCAATGGCATTCGCCGTTCCTTCGCTTCTCGCCTTCATCGTCGTCTCTTGTTCTCTTCTCCTCGCCGAGGCGTCGCCATCGCTACCCCCCGCGGCGTTGCCACAGCTACCTTCCACGGCGTCGCCGGTAACGTCACCTGCACCGACCTGCACCGATGAACTCGTTTTATTTTCTCCATGTCTGTCTTACGTTGCATCTCCGCCTAACGATCTTGCCGACGCCGCCTCTGCCAACTGCTGCAATGCCTTCTATGCCGCCGCCGAATCCGGCGTCGCTGTTTGCTTCTGTTATCTTCTTCGGGAGCCTCCGATCCTAGGCTTTCCTCTTAACAGTAGCAGACTTCTTTCACTGTCTTCGGATTGTCCTCTCGCTAATGGCGAATCTGCTGGAGCTCTGTCAATGAATTCTCTGTGTTCAGGTTTGGAATCTTGTATCTGCTCCTCATATTTTCTTGATTCTTTGAGCTTATCTTCCTCCAAACTTCGGAAGATTTTCCTGCGCTCATTCCAACACATTAACAAATGTTGCGTACATTTCTTGAGAAAATTGTTAACAAATATTGCATAAAGGTAGAATCAATTAATGACATCTTTTCTCTTTTCATTAATTCACAGAATCGCCGGCTCTTCCTCCTTTGAACTTCTCTCCAACTTTAGGGCTCACAGTTCCTTCTGCTTCTAGTGGTGGGTGACGGATCTTGAAATGCTTACTCACTTATTTTTCTTTTTTAAGCACTGAAATTCTCTATAAAAAATATTATATAAAGCTATAAATAAAATATGTAAAAAATTGAAAAATAAACATTATTTAGGACTGAAAATAATGGAGCCACAGTATTTGTATTTGTAGATAGTGCAGCATTAAATTAATTAGTTATTTCAATATTGCTATTTTTTTTTTGGAGCCAGGATATTTTCAACAATATAAATAGTTCAGCTTCATTAAAAACATGTTAGTGAAATGAGAACTAAATAGAGGTGAAATATATCAATGTGATTTTCAAGGAAAACGAATCAGTTTGTGTTCAATGACTTTTATTTTTCAAGAAATTATTAGAGGTAAAACATATCAATGTGATTTTCTTTTAGCCTGCAAAAAGAAAAAAATATAATGCGAGTGAAATGAGAAATAAATAGATTCACACAACAACATTGCTTTAACTGAAACTTAAGTGGACTAAAATTGTTTTCTTGTATGAAATATAACCATAGATAAGTACAATTAAACCAATAAACCAAAATTTACTTATATAAAATCTCTCTCCCTCTTTCTCACACTCACAAGTAAATATATAAATTTTATATGTATTTTAATAAAAAAATCATAAAAAGAAGAACATTTATATTTTCACTGAGTAAACATTACGTCGATGGTATTGAGATATGGCTCTTTCTCTGCTACCTTCTTCAATATAGATATTTTGATCCTTAAAAGAAAAGGAGGATATATATATATATATTATGATGTTTTTTAATTAATGTTTTAAAATAAAAACTAGATTGGTTGTGAACGATCGGCTGATATATATAACTTATAAGATAATTGTTTTTTCATTATCTTATTCTTTGTATCAAGTATGATATTATACATAGGGTCTGGAAGGGCGACATCTTCTCAGGCGAAAATACCATCTAAGGGCACCGCAGCCGGTGGCGGAGCCAGAGGGGGCACTGGTGGCATCGGAGGTGGTGGAGCCAGAGGCGGTTCCTCCGGTAGCCGTGGCGGTAATGGGGCAAGGACAAGGCCAGGTGGAGGATGGAATCCTCATGGAGTGATAGGAGGAGCAGGGCACCACCACAGTGACAGTTCATCAAAGACTCAGATATGCAGGAACACAAGGTGGCTACTACTTATAACGTTACTTTTTCTGCTTATGACGTACATGTGTGCTCCTGATCTTGCTTAGTTAGCTAATCTTCATTCATTTCCATGTCATTACTCTCAATAATTGAACCAATCACGTGTATTAGACTTAGTTCTTTTTTTTTTTTTGGGGCAAATTAGACTTAGTTCATGGGACAACTATATATACATTACATGTACAAGAGAAAACAGAATTGTTGTTGCTTAAATACTGTAGAGGAAGATTTTGTTATTCACTTGTTGTTTGTTCAAATATGTGTGCCAACTGGTTTTTTTCGTCGTTAATTTATCCAATGCTTCATTTACTCTGGTCTTTCTTTTCTCTTTGAAATAATTTTAATGTTCACTTGCCTCTTCCCACTTATATTTCCATCCGCAGATGTGAGTGTACTCTGTGTGTGTGTGTATTATGACATTAGTTTTTGTGGGATGTTGTCTGCTTTTACAACATTCAATTAGAATGAGAATAATTGCTGTGTTGCTGTGTAATACATAGAGTGTAAGTTAGGCAATGTTTGATATACGAAAAAAAAATGTTTTTAAAATAGTAAATGATAATTTTTTTTAAAAAAAGAAATTATAACAGATGCACTTCTCATTTTTGCTAAGAAAATATTTTTCGAGGCATCAAAGAAATTTCTATACATGAAATTATAATATAACAGATTGTCCACCACCTTTGTCATCATTACGCTTGTCCTATGGTTTGTGTGAAAACTAGAGACTTTTTCTTAAGTACTGTATGAAATTTAAGAGTAGTTGCTTCTTCACCTGCCAGATGAACCCTGTGGCTTGGAGGTGAAAATGTTTTGTTTTCACAAGTCAAGCCACAAGTCCGAATCCAGGCACTCTCAATCTCATACACACGGGAAAAAAAAAAAAAGTTGTTTCTTCATCTGACATCTTGTATGGTTTATATAATTCATGAATAATATGTGGTTTTAAAAATTTTGTATTTGATATGGTTCATGTCTAAAAAATACCGGCATGCATTTGTGTATCTGATATACATCAAATACAACAATTTTCAAAATTTTATAATATATGCATGAAAATATATGTTATATATTTCAATTTTAGGGGATGGATATCAAGTAATATATATTTCTAATAATTAAAAAATATTCATTTTTAATTTTTTAAGTCTTATAGAGAAATATTTTGATAAAAAAATATAGTAATACAAATTGTAAAATATGTTATACGCATAATGAAATAAATAAATAAAATAAAGTCCATTCTCTCATTAGCGGGAATGAGAATGATAATTATCCCAATTCGACAATCAGAAAAAGGAAAGTATTATTGGAAATGCAAGGTGAAATTATTATCATACCTTCATTGATAAATTAAAATTACTAAAAAAATAAATAAATCCATGATGAAGAAATATTTCAAAAAATAAGGAAATATAATTTTATTTTATTTTCTTAAAAATATAATTTTAATCATATAATTTTTAGCAATGAATTAATCAAAGTTATTATTTTGTTATTGATGACGTTAAAAAAAAATTAGAGTCAAAAATGAAAAAAATATATTTATACCTTAATATTTTTATGCAATATATGTAAACGACATTTTTTACTAATTTAAAAAGTGATGATAAATGTTTTAACATATTTTTAATTCACAAATATTATAGTTATTTGATTATCTTTATTTTCATTCTTATATTATTTTCATTATAAAACAAAAAAAAAATACATTTGTTTCCGTGAGTATATTGATTTCATTAGAACAAAACTTATTTCGACTCCTCAATTCTACTCTCTCCATTCTTATATATAAGAAAAAAAATTATATCACACAATTTAAAAAGTTAGTTAATCATAGTAATTATGTCTGAAAATAAAAAAATTAAAGTAAAATATCTTATGTTAATTAACATAAGCAAGTATTAATTATTTTTATTAATGTAAATTATGAGAGGTGATTTTAAAAATATATAATAAATATTTATTGAAATATATAATTTTGTTTATAAAAAAAATAAGTAAAAAATGATAGTTTATTTATAAATAAAAACAAAGGAAGTATTTCCAACGCTGGTAGTGGGAGCACATATGGTGGTAGTAGGTGGGTGAATTATTGGAAAGGTGGGGCCTAAGTGGAACTTAAACTCAATTCCTTTAGATTTTTTAGACATTTTTTTGATAAGAGTACAAATTTAATTTAAATTATTTTTAAGAAAACACTGAACAATTTATATCAGGTGCAGAATAAAATTACTAACTCACAAATTGGAGCGGGGCACCTTCTATTTACTTTTAAGAAATAGACGTTTATTAATGTAGGGCCCACGTGAAAAAGTGACACCACAGCAATCTCCATCTCCCTCTTGAATTGCAACAAAACGAGAAGACACACACACGAACGCATTACACACACACGACCATGTTGAGATCATTGTGAATGATCAAGGTAACAGAACCACCCCTTCTTACGTAGCTTTCATTGACATAAAGAGTTTAATTAACAATGCCGCGAAGAATCAAGTCACCATGAACCCTCAGAACACCATGTTCGACACGAAACGGCTCATCGAATTGAGATTCTCCAGTGCCTTTATTCAAAATGACATGAAGCTCTAGCCTTTTAAGGTTGTTCCCGATGCCCATGACAAGCCCATGATTATGAAGGCAAAGAGAAACGTTTTGCTCCTGAAGAGATCTCCTCTATGGCCCTCACGAAAATGAAAGAAGTGACTGAAGCATTTCTGAGTCAAACCATTAAGAATGCACTCATCATGATGCCTGCTTATTTCAATGATTCATAGAGGCAAGCTTGATCGTATGCTTGCATCGCTTCTTCTGCCATCTCAAACGTCGCCAGCCACACCCTCCTCTTGCTTCAGTGCTTCAGTGAGAACAATACATGTTTTTTTTTTAGTCAAATAGCTGGTCAACAAATGGACGTTTGCTCATATAAATGAAAAGGTATCAACTACTATGCTTTTCCTAATTTATGTTTTTTTTTTTGCACCAATCCATAATATAGGATATTCAATGTTCATCAAAAAATAGTTTGTGATTAAATTTGTAACTTCACCGAAATTTTTTTTTATAGCTACTAGGCCACAGATACATTTTAACGATAGAATACAAATATTTTATATAACAATTAGATTTAAAAATAAGAATAACAATTTAGTTTTACGTAAATGATTGACAACTAGGCTTCAAAAATTCATAACTCCTCCAAAATATACTACAAAGCACTAGATCCACAACTCATCAACAAATAACATTTTTTGGCACAACAAGTGACATTTTAAATTGATAATTTCGGTCTTGTGAAATACAAAGTAAACTTGGCAAGTAACATCAAGGCTTCGCTATTGGTGTTATTTTCTTGTCAATTTATTAGTATCATTCTAACATTTCAAGTTTCAACAGAGGCGGATCCTCATGCGGGCTCATGAAAAAAAGTTTGTGTTTTATTCAAAATCACACGTACTTTCACATGAAACAAGTTATTCCCCTATTTAAAGTTTTGAATTCAAGTATTCTGTACGTGAAGGAGAAAACATTGGAAAGCTCCCACAAATTGACAACTGATTTGGCTTGTATTCAAATTGGTCAGGATTCCACATGGTTCGTTATTACGAAAAAAAAAAAAAGAAAGACATTTTTTAAGGCATGCACAAGTAGACTCCACTAACGGCATAGATTATCTCCTTCGACATATCGAGAACAAAGTATAAATTTTTTCCAACTAAATTACTACATATATGAGTCGAGGTTCAAACCCTCAACCATTTGCTTAAAAGACAAGAGCTATAAACTCGTGCAACTTTAGCCGGTTGAAAGAAAGAAATTAAAATCAAGTATGCTTCATAAATTGCCACGTTGTCATTTCATGAGAAGCACTAGTCCAGAGATAAATCGACTCAAGTCACAATTTATACGCTTTCAAGTACTTCTACACCAAGATTTGCAGACATATCACAACACATCTTACCATTAAAGTGAAAGAAGCTGAAAGGGTAAAAATAAAATGAAGTTTGGTGACTAACTTAAGCTGGGGGAGCAGAAGCTTCCTTTACTGATTCGCGCCATGCATACTCTCTTGCTCCATCCTTATCAACGATCTTGATGACAAAGTTTGGTGGGGCCACAACCAGCCTGGATCTTATTTCCAAGATGCACTTATCAACCAAATCAATTGCTTCCTCCACTGACATTCCACTATGGAAGTGTCTGTCCATCATTGAGAGTGAAAAATAGGAGCCATAGCCAAAAGCTCCCTTCTCAACCTTGTGAAGTGAAGCAATGTAGTCAATATAGTAGAGGGAAGGGCCTGTCTTTGTCATAGCCAGCAAGAAGGATGTTCACAAAGTATGGACTCTGAATCAAACCAAATTCATAGAGAAATTAACTCACATCCATTGTTAAGGTGATACATTAACTGCAAATAGAATTTAAGCAATAACAACTTGTCACATTCACAGGCATACCACTTCTAAATCATACATAAAAAACAAGGGGAAATTGCATGTAAGGACCTTTGAAGAAAGTTATTCACAGATAAGGATCAATAACAAGTCACCATTTGGGAAAAAACAAGTCCCTATTTCTATTTTAACAATAAATAATTCTGTGTTGGTCCTTATTTACGAATAACTTTCTTCAGCAGTCCTTGTATACAATTTTTCCTAAAACCAACTCAAGCTACACGGGTTTGAAGAATAAAAATCTGTATCTCACTTTTCATTGATGATGGAATATATAGTGCCTTGGGGGCGTGTGGTGGGTTTATATGTCGCCATAAGCCATGAGACTAAATATACATGAAACAAGTTTTTTCTTTTAATATTTTTATTCTTCTACGAAGGAAAATGCAGAATTCCAGCCAACAGTAAAAAAAAAATCAAAATAGAGAAATCTTTACAGATATAACCACGCAGATAAAATAATCATAGAAGCAATGGAAAACCAAGTGGGCCACTGAAGTAGGAACTATTCAGATATGACTATTCATTGAGCTATGAGAAAAATAACACAAGTAATATACAGATGAAACAATCTGGAAAGCCCTTTCCCAGTGGTAGAACAGAACAACAGAATCACATTTTCCCACAGCCATAACTGTTGGTTTTGCATAGGAATTATCTTCATCTGGCATGAGAAATATGTGATTATTCAG